TTCTTGTCTCTTAGCCCAGTTGAAATTCATGCACGGAAATATGTTCAGCAAAGCCATATAATTATGGCATACGAAAGAAGCGGAAATTCAACAGCAGCTAAGTCAAATCTGCCCTCTGTTATATACATGAGTCCCCGTGATCATTGTCTCTGCAAGACTTTGATCTTTGTTCGGTGGTTTCCAACATTAGAAGCCAATTGCAAGAATGTGTATCTTTCAGAAGGTTCCCAGAGGAGAGACTTTTTAAAAATATCTTTGATGGTAGTTAAGCATTATTTTGTTGCTTTCAGACGGTTTTTGATTATATTTGTTGCACATTTTACAGACACACGCACAAAGACACACTCCCCTTTCACCACTTTTGCTCCAGGGCTTGTCGAAGGGCACACAACAGAGACCTTCTGTGCATACCAAACCCAGACGGCTCATTCAGAGCTGCCTCTAATTGTGCATTCGCGCGCGCACACATACACACTTGCATTACATGTCAACGTAATCCTGCAGTTTCAGCAGTTGGAAATATTTCAGGAAATATTTATAACTCAAAACTTTAGGAAGTGAATCCAAGCCTCTTAAAGAGTCAAAAATATCTCCTCATGTATTTCTACAACCAAGAAATACAGTTGTTGCCAACTGGATCAATCTTATTGTCGGGTTGCATAATGCTACCATGTCACAGCTCACACACTGCCATACGAGGAAACCCACACGCAAAGAGATTGAAGCAAATGAACACATGCTAAACATTTAGAAAAAGCCAAGAGGCTCCGTAATGGAAACAATGACACATGGCCCACTTTAATAACTGAGGAAAGTTCCTAACTTAGTGAAATGATCCAGAAACATCGAATTTGAGAGCTGTTTGAAACCTCTAAATACTAAGAAAAACTTCTTCAATGCTTCTCTTCTTCTTTAGGTTGAAGAATTATTGTCATCAAAAACAAATTCATATTGATTAATATGAATAGAAAGCGACAACCTTTTATTTTCATTTTATATGTATTTATTTACGTAGCATCACATGTACATGTGAGAACTAAGAAGAAAAAAAACACAAAATCAATGTTCTCTATTCCAAAAACAAAACTAGACCTATATGATCCATTATTAACTGGCTGGTTTCTCCGCGAGGCGTCCCGAGGTGGTGCAGCATCTGTGAACTAAGTCTGTCAGTGTATCAGTCTCCCGTGTCATGCCAGACGCCACGTCTTGCTCAGAGTGTCGCAGTGTTTAGTCCAGGTAATTAATCTAAACTCGTTAGCCACATGGCAGGCAGCGTGGAGCGGAAGCCGGCCCGCACGCTGCAGCGGTGACTCCGCGCACACTTACTGTACTCGCATAGGAAGCACCGCATCCCTCACCAGACTCACGTATGTCTATGTGCATGGTGTTTGTCTGCCTGGCTGTCCGTACGACAGCTTGTGTTGACAGAGTACGCTGGCACATGCGCTGGCTTATCTCAGCTCGGCCCCAAAGGAACGGTGTCTTTTAAAGGAAGCGTGTGGGTTGGAACTGATATGTGCTGCTACTTTGCCGTCCCTCGCATCTACCATGGGACCGCAATGGTAAATGTTGGCAATAGGGAGGCGGGTAGAGGGGGGGGAGCAGCTGCTTTCCTTCCTAGAGCGAGGGATGATTCGTGGGCCAGGGAAGGTGGAGGAGAGGGATGAGGCTGGACAGGTGCTGAGAGAGAGATATGTGCTCTCTTTTCTCTCTGCCGCATCGGAGAACGGGGGGCTGGGAAAGAGCGAGATGAGAAAAAAAAGACGGGTGAAATATTTCCCCCCTGTGGCAGAGGAAATGGGGGGAAAGTGAAAAGGGCCATCTCTGTTTTGAGAAATGGACTAAACTATTCCCCGGAGGGGGTGCTAAAAGTCCCGGCCCTAAAGGCCTCCCTCTAAATGTACCTACCTGTGATGGATGGTATTAACGTTTACCCACACTGCTGTTCCCCCACTACTCAGCACAGCACAGGGAGGGCTGTGTGTGTGTGTGTGTGTGTGTGTGTGTGTGTGTGTGTAGGTCTACACAACCAGCACACCTCATGCCAGGCAATCCTGCCATGGCCTCCTCGACACTCTCGGGGAGTAGAAAACACAACCCCCCCGTGACAATCGATATCTACCACCGGATCCCAGCCCCATCTGCAGTCTAACAAAGCTCCCATCTTCAATCCACGCTATTACTGGTAATTCCGTGGCCCAGCGGTTCCTGTTTAGAGCCCGGCCCCTGAGATTAAAGAGCAACGCGGCTACTGGAGTCCTTTTTCTCTCAACGGGGGAAGGCGGGTTGTTTATCCGGAGGAATCTCCTCCGTGCAAGTTTGTAAATACTACTCATTTCCATTTCCAGGGCCCCATTGGGATAACCCCAACTCTTGTCCGTGTCAATGCATTTGCCACAAATTAACATCTTTGTGATGCTTTTTTTCACACCAAGAGAAAACAATTAGGGGCAGCCGAGATGAATGCCAACAGGGCAATGTCATACAAGAATATTCTGTTGATGAGTCACTCAGTTGATCAAATTCTGGAAAATATGTAGTAGTTGATTACACATCATCATCGTGACGGATGGGCCTCGTCTTTATTGCCAAAATGTTTGTCAATGTAATGCTGCTTTGACTATAACTGCACGTGTGATGGAATCAATCAGTTGATGTCAGTCGCTGAGTTGAATGAGATGTATCAAAATCAATTTTCAGATTTAAAAAAAATAGTCTTACTCAGTAAGTGGCCTTTGATGTTTCATCGCTGCTTGCTTTTTTTTTGTTTGTTTGAAGTTTGAAGAATTAATTTGACTTCTTTTCAAATTATCGTGCGTGTGTTTCCTTGCCGAGAGTTTGATGTGAAGATATAAAACTCTCTCATGTCTGTATGATAAATATAAAGCTTAAGCCAGGATCTAGTTAGCATCGCTCTGTGTTGCATAACTTGATGGTAACAGTAACTTCTCAAAGTCTCTCGGCTGGTGACCAGAAATAACCACTTAGTACGTTTTGAAGATACATTTCTTTGCGATAGACTTTACACTGTGTGTGTGTGTGTGTGTGTGTGTGTGTGTGTGTGTGTGTGTGTGTGTGTGTGTGTGTGTGTTTAAGTAAGTAAGCAAGTAGAGTCAGAATGTGTTTGCCCGGAAGAAACAGTTCTCACCTTAATTCCTACCCTGAAAGACATGTAATAAGAAGCACCATACACATGAAATCACAAGTTCCCACAGACAAGTTTTACCTCTGCTAACATCCAGTGACTTACACTGCATGGATTAGCCCTCTCTTTGAAACTCCACGGGAAGGGATTTCCTTTTAGGTGATCACTGGCCTAAGCAGTTGTTACACGCAGGATTAACCGGTTCTGCCATTCAGACAACATGGTCTGTTTAAACTGGCAGGGTGAAGAAAGCGGAGGGAGACAAGGAGGTGAGCGAAAGGGAGAAGGTTATGACAGGCGGCAGCAGGGATGGAGTTGAGAATAAAGAGGAGAGAGAGAGAGAGAGAAAGGGAGGCGTGAGAGGCGTGAAATGGGGAACAGATGAAGAAGGAAGGCGAGTGAGATGCGGGGGGAGGGGAGGGAGCAGAATTAGGACGTGACGTCAGGGATGCATGGACAGAGATGAGTGTAGAAAGAGGAGAGCTCCGGTCAGGCAACAGGATGAGATCAGATGAGCGGAGAAGCACACGTAAAAGGTATCTGGTGTCGTGAGAACGGTACGTCTGCCAAAGAAGCAACTTAAAAGGAGCTGACAGTGGCAATATTGTTTTGGGTCCCCCTTCTGTTTTTTGTTCCTTCCTTTGCTTCAATAATATCCCTCTCCCTGTGTGACAGTGTGTCATCCGGGCCCCCCTTTTGTAATTGTGCCGGCACAAGGTGTTTGCAGAGAGGGAAGGTTGATGGGCTGATAACAGGCCTGGCTTTAGGGGTGGAAAGATATTTCTATGCTGCCGCGTCCAGCTCACAATAGCGTCTCGCTCGCTCCCCGCGTGTCTCCCTCTGCCGTCTCCAGTCACTCTCACATAACTCACATTGCACTTAGCTCTCTCTCACGCTTTTCTTCTTCCACTTCTCTGTGTCTTGTCAAGGGAGAAAGACATCAGCGATCCCTGTTAGAAGCTCTGCCTACCTCATTCCGTACCCCCCCCCCCCACACACACACACACACACACACACTTCGCCAAGGTGTGCAACAGTGGTCCGGCAGCCAGGCAGCTTTCTTGGTTCCTCATTTGATGCGCTGTGGTACGTTTCACTGGAACAAGCCAGCGCTTCCTGGGAGCAGAAATCATGCCTTGTGTCATGTGCGCTTCGTCGCCTTACACCCCCCCGCCTTACACCCCCCCTTCCACACTCCCTCACTTTCACTCACTACCCCTTTCGCTCTTTCGGCTCTCCCCTGTGCCCATCCTTGGCTTTCAGCCTATTCTAGTGGAAAGACAGGGGAATTGTGCGTCTGCACACATACAGACTATCTCACATTTGCAGACGCAGGGCAGTGACAAGTGCAGCCTTGCCCGTCACACGCCACACCACGACAAAGCCCCCACGTTCTCATGTGGCTCCTCTTCAAAATAGAAATGTACACATATGCACACACGTGCGTGAACACAGGCGCCCACACTGCCTCACAGTCATATTCCGTCCCTTTATCCCATTTTGGTAATCTGTTTACGGAGTGCTGGGCCCACTTGAGGGGGGAATTTAATTGAAACCGGGGATAATCTGATGACGGCGCGGAACGGCCCGGCTTCACCTCCGGGTTCGGCTGCACTTTGCCGCTCTCACACTCAATACCTTGCTTCTTCATTTCACGCCTCGCGGTTCGATGCAACGCTGCCCGCTCGCACGCGCCACATTGATTGTTGATCCGACATTTGAGATGCTCCGCGCTCGGTCAGTTCGACAACACTGTGTTTTTTTTTTTTTTCTTTCTTGTTTGTGTTCTTACCGCTGACCACTGACCGAGCGACACTTACCCTCTCCTCCTGTTCCCTCTCTCCTCATCCAGGACGGGTACTACTCCCACCGGCCGAAGGAGAAAAACAGAGTGGACAGCAACAATGAGAACTCTGTGCCCAAAGACTTTGAGAACATTGACAACAGTAACTTCGGTGCACGCTCGCAGCCGCAACGACAGTCTGTGGGCGCCGCTGGCAGCAAGCAGCAGCGGGAGCATCTGCAGGAGAAGGCCCACGCCCAGCAGCAGACCTGGCGGGACAGCTCCCTTCGACCCAGCGTGGGTCGAAGCTCAAACGAAGTTTTGCCCGTAGGCCACCAGCCTCTGGCGGTCGGCAACAATGCCTCCTACGCGGGCGGGCGAGGCGGAGCGGGAGGGTCGCAGCAACGCCACCGCGCCTCGCAGGCCCAGCAGGCCCAGCACAGACATCAGCACCCGCACAAGAGGCCAGAAGCCGCAGCGCCGCTGGGGGTGACCTACGACGAGCCGCCAAAGTGCGAGATCAGTGGGAAGGAAGCCATTTCCGCTCTGTCCAGGGTCAAGAGCAAGGAGTGCCGGCAACAGATCGCCGAGGTGTACTGCCGACACAAGGAGGGGCAATTAATGCCAGAGACGGTCACGCGCTACTGCCCCCTCGAGGGTGAGTCCATCTTTGTAATTAATTAGATTGATCATTTGACTTCAGTCAATACAAATGCTTGTCTATGAGGCCGGCGCCTTCACTTTGCATTCTGCACGAGTGATGTCTCACTGAATCGGTTCGATTTCTATCCAGCTTCCGATTGTAAGGACACCTGATTGTTGCGATACAAATGGTTTTGTAAAAAATGTGCCTCGTTATGTATTTCTCTAAAACATTTTCATTGCTAAATAACCAAAAATCATTGTTAAACTGGGGTGAAAAGATCCTATGATATTATGTATAAATAATAAACACACAACACAGTAACAGGTCGAGATTTGGTGGAAGGTACCGTTGACATTAACAAATAACCCCACAACTTTCATCACATTTTTCTTCAAACGTTGCAATGCTCCAATTGGTGCATAAAACTATTTTCATATCAACTTTACTGAATTAAACTTTACTTGTATTAGCCGATTTAAACCAGTGCCAAATACAGAAATAACCAAACCAATCGATTAAAATATTGGAAAAAAGTGTCTAGGTAGGACTGCTCATAGTCGATTTTTAGAGCATCTCGCAGCCTGAGTAGTTATTTTTATCTGCTCTCCGTCTCATTAAAAAACAGTGTTCTGATTTAGCTCATTGGACGGAGAAAACACAAACTCTGGTTTACAGGGTTTGTCAATGTATGCATGATGTGTGTATGTATTGTTTGTGTATATGTATGTAGGCACTCATATTACCCGTAAGATATATATAAATATATGCAAGTGCAGCATTTATGTAAAAACAATTACCTTCCTTGCTGCAGGGCTCCGAAACAATTGTTTATCTCCAACTACTTACAAGCAACTTCACAAATAGTTAAACGATCAGGAGCTACATAAGCTAATAGGAGTTTACGCTTGGGTTGATTATTCTAACGGACTTACTAAAATAGATACAAAGATAAACCTACTGCAAATAAGGCTGATTGTCAATGTCCTTTACTCGCATCGTTTTACATTTCATTGTGGTTTTCACATTATTTCCTCCTACTCTCTGCAGTGCAAGCTTTCTTTTTCATGGCAGAAAATAATAAATGAATTATACAAGTACAAGATTGTGGTGTGACCATTCAGGCCATTAGAACATTCAATAATATTTCCTGTCCTCATAATTGCAATTGTCGTCAATGTCAAAGAATCTTTTTGCTGATATACAATATAAAGTAAATTGTCGGAGAGAATGATGATGCCGCCTGTATGCTCCCTAAATCGGTTTCCAATTTTTATCCGTCTTGTCAAGCTGAAAACAGAACACGTTTTTCTTCATTTTTGTCAAGCCGACGCACACAAACTATTTGAATTCATGGACATCTGCAGTCCGGGGGTGGATTCTGTAAACATAATCTGTTGTGGCCGCCGCCATCGGTGAGCAGCACGTACCAGTAAAAATTGAAATTAACAATACATGCACTCATATGCACTTACAATTATAGGAGTGGACTGAATGCAGTGTGGACAGCAGAAGACGCAAAGAAAAACATTATACATCCTGCCTGTTCGAGTCCGATACCTTCACAAATATGCTTGTGTTTTTAGGGACTCAGGAAGGCACTGGGATTTAGCAACTTTTGTACATTCCCCTTTCGAAGAAAAGAGTATCGTTTGTTGGTGCCGAAGCGCCTGTCATCTTACACAGCGACTCACCATCCCACTCACACTGACAGTTTGATCAGAGAAGACAAAGAAATTCCCCCGGTGGCTGGGCTGTAACAACACGACAGCTAAATTAAATCACTTTTCTCTCTGACTCTCCGTCTGCCTCGCCGCCGCCGTCCATGTGTTATATTTCTCTCTCTCTCTCTCTCTCTCTCTCTCTCTCTCTCTCTCTCTCTCTCTCTCTTCTCCCTTCTCTGTTCTCCATCCCAATTCTAGTCCTAACCTTGTTAGCAGAAAATTGCCCAATTTGATTTGATGGGTATTCTGTCCTCGAGGCCCTGGCTACTTAAGCTATTGTGATAGCTCTGGAATTAGCATCATTGAATACAGGAGGAACATGTTCAATCTCTTTTCCTCCATTGCCTCCTGTAGTGTTTGTGTTATATGGGTTTAAACCACCAGACCAACCACAGCTTGATAATATCCACGGGCGTTTATTCTCCGGCTTGCGCGTCTGCGGTTACTCTTAACGTACTTCCTGCTCACGTGTCTTGCGCGTCTATAACCGCAGGTGATGTGGTTTCACCATGAACATCACACCTCCATTGACTATAATATAACCATAATCGGGCTGCATTGCTTAGCTTAATGGCCTCACACAGAATGGATTTGTGTATAAATCGTGCTCAGCGCTTCTATCATCAATATTGTTATGTACAATATTATACAGTCAAGCAGAATTCTTGATGTAGGCAAACACAAAAACTAAAATATTGTATGTATGGTGAAAGAAATACAAGACAAAAACTACTCCCAATTTATTGTGACCACCATTTGGGATCTAAATTGACCTCTACCATCATTAAGCAGAGAGAAGCCTTTCCTGAGCTGTGCAAGCTATCGGATTCTGGGGTAATTGAGCTGAAAGGTTTGAGAAGCTGCAAGGTTGCCAGTTTGTTGAACTCAAACTCAGTGGTAATGTTCAGCGTGATGCGAAAACAAAACCGCAATCATCAAATAATATTCCCTCAAAATAATGTGCTTTTTTTTTAATGATGTAATTGTGTATCACAGTATCTCAATATGTAATTTAATTCTGATATATTTCCATTGAAAGACTATTGATTAAAATGTCACCTGGCCCGATCGTCAGCTCATATTCTTCTTGCCCGGTAAACCTAGAGGAACATTTTAAACTATTAAACTACTAGAGTATTTTAAACTCTGTGTTTTTTGGGGGCAGATTGTTGCTTTGCTGCTAAGCTACATGTTCATGGTTGCTTGTTGGTTTGAGCAGCATGATTAAAACATGCCAGACCCAAATGCCATTGTTGCCTTCGTGTCTGCTGGATGTGTTAATAGGAAACATACATCAACTGGTTATAGTTGGTCAGTTGTGGGTTCCAGGGTTGTGTTTGCCTCTGAGTGTCATTACTGGTTTAAAGAAAATAAAGTGGCATGTTTTTTTTTTGCATTCGTAGAAATCAAACCCTTCGACGTGATTTACATGACAGCAAGCTTAGTTTTGTGGACAGTTTGTAGGAGCAAACCAAAATCCCCGGGACATTTTCAAAAATGCAATTCAGAATCCTTTTTGGATGTTCTGGAGCTCAGCTCTTGTTATAACCTCTCATGTGAGCCTTCAAGGTGGGGGCTGGGTAAGAGCCCAACGTTAGGCGAGATGATGGAGGACGAGAGTAGGGTGATAACAGATGAGGGAAAGCTAGTTTAAAAGATTGATGGTGACGGCAAGGATGACGAAGAGTAATGAGTGCAAGATGAGGGCTTCTGTATTTTCTTTAAAAGGGTGGCCTTCTCCAAACATACTACACATGAAGCTATTTTATATACAAACACACATGTGCGACAAAACTGACAGTTGTCACACACACACACACATACAGCGTAGCTCATTAGTTCAGCTGGCTAGCATCACTCACACTCTCAAAGTGGCTTTTGAAGTGACTGGCCAATTATCCGTGTGCAAAGCAAACCAGTGAACCTTCTTAGCTGGCCACCAATTACCGTTCAATCTGATACGGCCCACAGCAGATTTCCCCCTTGAGCTGGGAGAGAGAGAGAGAGAGAGAGGGGGGCGAGAAATAAGTGAATGACAGACGCCACAGCCAATTGGGGCCAAATGGAGCCATGGAAGCGTGTCATTAACCACCAACCTTGTGGTCAACCTTAAATGTTGGACACCTGGCCTTAAATTTGAATGGAAGAGTTTGTTAAACAGAAGAGATCGTGCCTTCTGAGGTCAAAAATTAGACAACACGTCGCACACTCAACCTAAAATTTTGAGTAATTACAGGAGCCGTAGGGCCCGACTAGAAGAGTCAGAAGGGACAACTTGAAAACAAACAATGCCCGTCATAAGGTTGTGGGACTTGATGGTGCAGAACTGCTTTGAGCGAGTGTTTTTTCAGGTTGGAAGTGTCTGTTTTTGAGGTTAAAAGTGGAGCAAAACCACCCAATGGAGCCATGTGACGTCACCAATGGCTCTTCAGAGATCGTTGGAATAGTGCAGGCCGGTGTTTGCCGCAACGCAGTCTTCTGGGAATTCAGCCGAAGTGAAACGATCACACAGAGTCAAACCACCCAGATATTTATTACAAAATTCCCATCGAAATGAGGATAGTAGTTACAGTGAGTGCGCTGTCTGTCTTCAACTTATCATAGTTCCGTGTGGTTATGATTTTTTATGTTCCCAGGCTGCCTTTTTACTTTTTATTTCTTATTCATTCATTGAATAAATCATCTTAGTTGTAGCATGGTTTAGTTTCCTTCTGCATAATCTTGACCAATTTTGGCCACTTAAGAACACCCAAGTAAGGGAGAGCAGAGGCACGTAACCCGTGGTACAGTGTTTCTGAAGGCGTTGTGCTGTATTTTAGTATTTGTACATAATCAGGAGTGCTCATTGATTTGTCATCATGAAACAGATTCAGTTCAGAGAGTGGTACACTCAGACAATGGGAAATACTGATTATTCACTTTCGTAACATTTCATTATTATGAAGCTAATCAAACCACTCCAACTTAAACTTGGCTGGCAGCTATGTTTTTTCCAGATGTGCGTTATTGTTTAATCAAATAATCATATTTAATTATCTTTAGTAACTCTATTCATTATGCTCTGCTTTCGTTGTCCCTCTAATTACTTGATGGTTGCTTTACCTGCTTACAGGGCTTTGTGCAGCTTATCATAGATTATGAAGTAAAGAGGCAAATCAATTGTGCAACCAACCCCTGGTTATGATATTTAGAAGAATCGATTTAGTATTCAATGCAAGATGTAGTTTAATTTACACAAAATATCATCACAAAAATGATGTTTTTCCCTTTTAACAGGTAAAGCCAATGCTAATGTCCAGTGGGATGAGGACTCCGCTGAGAGCTTCCCATCAAAACCAGTCAGAATAGCGTTCGTCTTGGTGGTCCACGGACGAGCTTCTCGCCAGTTTCACCGCCTCTTCAAAGCCATCTACCACACCTCGCACTACTACTACATACATGTCGATCAGGTGAGCCATCGAGAGCCTACAAACGCGAAGTACCGTCACTGTGCAACCGGTCAAGTCCTTTGTTTTATCAATTAAAGCAATACAATCTTGTTTATTTTTAAATAATTTTAAATTGTAATACCATTAACTTATTAAATCTACTTTGCTTGATATCAGAAATAATAATAATAATAATCAGTTATTTATAATTTCCTCTTTTTCAGCGCTCTAATTACCTGCACAGACAGGTGCTCTCCTTGGCTGCGCAGTATTCGAATGTGAGGGCGACACCGTGGCGTATGGCCACCATCTGGGGTGGAGCCAGTCTGCTAACCATGTATCTCCGCAGCATGGCTGACCTGCTGGCCATGAGGGACTGGAGCTGGGATTTCTTTATCAACCTCAGTGCTGCCGACTACCCCATCAGGTGAGAAAGATGCATCACGCAGGAAGGCGCGTTCAGTAAAGGGCAGCAGGGGAAACCTAAGGGGAAGGAGGCCAGGGTCCTTTCTTTAAGATTCATCTGGAAATAAAGTGAGGTGAAGGTGCAACCATCTGATGAAATACGGGTGACGTCGGCACAATAGTAGACGACTCCCAGCAAAAATGGAAGCAATTCAACACACACTGGTCCAGGCTGCCGTGGTTGACAGTGAGCTTTAAATAAAGAGTCAGTCCAAATAGAATAGATCAACTAACTGGAACCTCTCTTTTCCTCAAACGCTATTTGTTGGAGCCTCCACTCCACTTGAATGGTTACATGTTGAACTGATCACGATGTAATTACGCTGGGTCAATACCTATTGACTTGTGTACTGTACAGTCTGAAAGTCTTCCCTCCACTCACAATCCCCTCTAAGAGGCTGTAAAAGGACATTAAAGCCACAAAGCCCACGTGAACTGGACATGGAGTCATGGAAATAGCCTACAGCAGGAGAATTTTGTGTAACTTGTATTTTTTTTTTACATGAGTTTAAAGTCCTCCTGGGAGTTCAGGGTCTGCTGGGTTTTTGATCTGCTCTGCAGCAGCCAATTAAAATCCTCCTATTAAGGAGAGAGTTATCTCTTCGGCGCAGCCAGATGTCCACTAGTTGAGTTTAGACAAGCTGTAATGGCCACCGGCTAAAAAGAAGCTGGATCCGATGACTCCACAGCTGGAGCTAAGATGCAGGGGCTTAGTTAGATTTTGTTCATAGACCGGTTCCGTCTTGTTGGGTTTGATTCTTTTTCACCATATCGATGAACGCTGCTGACATGCCGTCTGTGCCTGTTTGTCTGTATTTCTGTGTTCCTGCACCAAGGTGTGCACACTCGAGTTCATTACTGAATACTTCAGTGTATCTCAGCACCTGCCTGTGTACATACGTGAATATTCATCACGTCTGTGTGCCTGTCTGTTTGTCTGTCACTGCATGATTAAAGATATTTACCGGTGCATGCACCAAAACACTGATTTCTTCCCGTCTTTTGCCTACTCATTTGCATGAGGTTGATGTTGTTGAGAAAAGGGCTGACAGTGGAGTTTTTAAGCCCCATCTGTTCGGAAACGGAACGATTGATGGAGCGAAAGAGGGAGCCGAGGGGGAGAAATGACAAGGAGTGCCAAGGGAGCGGGAATAAGCAGCTAGGAAAGAGGAACAAGAGGGAACTGCATGTTTTGAATCTATGCAAAATAATGGAAATATGGAAATGGAAATCTGGTATCTCTGCCTAGCAAGTGCATTTGTAACCACAGCTTGCATTTGACAATGTCTGCTCACTGCATATTTACTAGGTTGAACTTGCAAAAGTGGCCCTTTTTAAGTGGCGGGGCCGGGCTCAAACCCCCGTGAGGGGGAGCTCCGCGCTACTCGAGTGTCCTCAAGCAAAAAACTGAAACCCATTCGGCTGTTTTGTTGCTGATAATCCTCTCTGATTTCTTCGGGAAAAGAATCGTCCAGAAAGAGACACCCTTCCTCGGAAATAAACACCTCAGCATTCCATTTTTACTATGGGCTGCACTACGCTACGCAAAACGTGTTGGCATAAGCAGATGCCTGTAAATGCAACGTGTTAAGCTGCTCCCGCGCTTCATCAGAGCGGCGTGACGGATGGTCGTGTAACTTTGCGAAACCACTGCTCCCACACCACACCTTACAGTGCAAAAGCCGCCATTAAACACCACTTTCCTCTGGCTTTAAGCCCAATAAACTGTGTCGTGAATCTGCACTAGTTTCTTCTTGATGTAGGACAGTATTTCAGTATTTGACTTTTTCACTTTCCTGACTACTGCCGTTGTCCTCAGCGGGTTTGGAGACACGCATTATTTCCCCAATAATTCCCTGATAATGTCTGTCCTGCTGCATGGATGCCTCTGAAAGGCAAAACCAGAGCCCCTCACTCCAGCAGAGGGGCTGTGAGTCCAGGGTGAGATATGCTTTGTGTGTGTGTGTGTGTGTGTGTGTGTGCGTGTGTGTGTGTGTGTGTGTGTGTGTGTGTGTGTGTGTGTGTGTGTGTGTGTGTGTGTGTCCAGAGGCCAGAGGATGAGTTACATGCCTGCTTTGTCAAAGTGCAACCCTCTTTCCCAGCTTTTATCCACACAGCCTCGATGCTTTTACCTCTTTTTTTTTCGATAAAGACCCCCTATACAGACTGTACAGCTGCTTTGAGGAGGTCTGAGCTTTGTTAGACGATGGCTGGCTTTAGGCATCTTATTTCTTTTGCTTTGTCATGTCTCTCTGATAAAAATTGTATCTCATATTTTAGCATTGTTGCATAGTGAAAGGAATAGGTGGCATCACCCATCAAAACCAAGCCAACGTGCTTGAAAACGCGAGTTTAAATGGCCTCGATGTTGAAAATGTGAACCTTCGGTTCCTCCCAGCGGTTGATTGTGTGTGCTGTGAGTGTGTGCGTCTGTGTGTGTCACAGTAATGTGTGTGCGTGAACACCGCTGTGAGACGGAGCGGCCACGCCGCTGACACTTAGCAAACTGGGCCCGGTGGACGGGATGACCACTCAGGTGGCAAATCTGGAGCTTGACATGAATTCCCCTCGCTCTGTGTGTGCGTGCGTGCCTACGCGCCTACAAGCATTGGTGTGTCTCTGTGCTTCACATCGCATTGTCTGCATGCATAGTTGTGTGTGAGTGTGGGAAGTAGAGACAGAGAGGACTGCATGTGTCCGCGCAGCACATCATCAGTTAGGCTTTATGGCTCAGAACCTCCTAAGATAAGCCCCCCAGGCTGTGAAATTGCTCCTTGAAGAGAAAATGACATTAATATGTGCTCGTCCCTCCCCCCTATGATCCTCGGGCTGTTCACCAGGGTCCGCCGCTCTCTTTTCGAAAGGCAAGCCAAGCCATCAAGAAAAGCTCTGCCGCAGATGTTAGAGCCGGTGACTGTGGCGCAGCCTGCGGAGCGAAGCTTTTAGCGTGTCTGCTCCCGCGTACGGGCCAGTTGACTGCTCTACAATGTCAGAGCTTCCTGTGGTCATTCATCGAAAGTCATGGACAGCACAAGCTTTTGTATGTTCCTTAATAGTCTCAACGGAGTGAAAGGACTGACAGGCCGAAACCGAGAGCCAGCCGAGGTCTTTAAAAGCGAATTAAAGAACATAATGTGAAGTATTTCTCAATACCATTTAAAGTCCCTCTCCACTCGATGGACGGGCGATGGAGAAATGAGAGTAGAAGACGGCGCGAAGAGATGAGCCGTGATTGCGTAGCATCAATACGTCATTGAACAAGTGGAAAAATCTGCGAGCTCCTGTTTTTTATTTGCTTCAGCAGATTCATTGTGATTTGGTCCGGCAATGCCAGGCCAGAAGATACCCGCTTCCACAGAAAGGTCCACATCAGCTGTAGCTATCTCAGTGGTTTTCGCTTAACAGAGTTTAAGAAGGGGACCGGACGCATCTGCCAGATCAAATAAAACACGAGCAGATTTACCGAGCCCTCGTTCAGGGAGTGACTTTAGGTCTCTAGAGATCGTATTACGCCTTCTGTGATATGACCGACAAGGGAGGAAGAGAAAGAAATGAACGCAATAGAAAAAGGGTCAAATGCACAGCTCTGATCCATGACATCGCGCTCTACACGCCACAGACTAGATGTGTGATTTTATATGTGGCCAATATTAGCTCGTCAACCTGAATTTCACTTTTGTAATCATTCTAAAGTTCTTTAGGGATTTCCCTATCATTTTACATATATTAAGAGCTAACTGAGCAATTAACACCAGGACACGGGATTGGAACTTGACAAATGTGTTTTTTTTTGTTTTTTTAAATCACTGTCTTCTTTATAGCAACCAGTAACAGATGGATTAATTTGCATAATTTCCCTCCGAAGCCGGCACTGTTCTTTTAACATGTACTGCACTGCAGAAGCAATGTTCCAACTAAGTCTACCCATATGGTTCCCTCTCCAAAGTAAGCCACTTCTTCCCTTTCAGGACCAACAACCAGCTGGTGGCCTTTCTGTCCAAATACAGAGACATGAACTTCATCAAGTCCCACGGCAGGGACAACGCCAGGTGATGTGCATGTTTTACTAACCTCAATTTAATCCACTACACAACACCCCAACCTTTCTCTCACGCTCTGGCTGACTCTGTGTGCTTGTCTCTATTACTTATACACACCGGCATCTAAGCGCACACTCCTGCCAGCGCGGCCGGGTCACTGAATCATAATACAATTAGCTCCCATCTGCGGCTCCATTAATTAACCTCCCTGGTGGGGTGAGCTGGCGAGGTCACTGCCAGAACGCCCTTTTTCCCCGCCGCCTCCACCGCGACGCCCTCCGCTCTCTGCTCTCTGCCGCCGCGGAAAAACATCCATCGCCGGACGTTGCGGGCAAGAATACCTCCGAAAACACACCAAAAACAAATATGGCAGCATGGACGCGTGAGTCAGCGTGACTCAGCAGTGGCTTTTTATATTCGCAGCGCAGTATTTTTTTTTTGTTGCTGTTTGATGAGAGTGGAGCAGTTTTGTGATTTTCTTCAATTCTGTGGCTGTCAACAATATGGATCTTAATCCACCACTACATGCATTGGTCTGGAGGGCTGAAAATAATTAAAAGAAAATGCATCTAATTGTAAAGATGCAAGAGTGCATTTCTAAAATGTGGACAGCGCCTATTTGCACATCACAGCTAAAAGGTCAACACATCAACATTTTAGACGCTGTTCAGGTAACAGAGGGAACAGTCTGCCCGGGTTGACCTGAATTTGACTCCCTTCATCTGACACTTGATACATTCACACTCGTAACACCGGCCATTTTAAATGCAAGACGTCCCTCCTCTTGGCGCTGATAAAAGTGCACACGGACCCGTGTGAACAAAAGTAATTTAGGGACAAGGATAGCAGCCATGTTCTGCTTAGAACTATTGCAATGCCAAACTCACAATCCCTAAAGTAAATTGAGAATCGTTAATCTCTTCTCTCAGACATTGGTCAAGAATTGCGCTCCGTGTCTGTTCCATAACCTTGATAGAAAACACAAGATAATATTTCTGCACTTACATTTGGCTGCAGCCTCTGTTTTATAAAGCTTTTATTCCAATAAAAAATAAAAAAGCATTCTATTTAGAAGGAGCAGAGCCCGATCCCCAACAAGATATTATTACACACACTCAAATGTTTGTCTCCTCCAGAAAGACGTTCATTGAAGTCAACAAGGACAAGCAATCTGCTGTTGGTTGAAAGTAAAGATGAACATTGGGAGAAAATAAAAACGAGCAGCTGATTGTACGCAATTGCTCCTCCAAAGATACAACAAGATCCACAGAGTGCTTGTTCTTATGCAAATTCTGTGTTTTAAAGTGTGTGTTTTTTTCCCCAAGTACCCCTTATATTGAATTGCATTCGGTAATCAGTAGCATAACCGCATGTTTCTGTGTGCTCACCAGGTTTATCCGTAAGCAGGGCCTAGACCGTCTGTTCCTTGAGTGTGACACACACATGTGGAGGCTGGGTGACCGCAAAATCCCAGAAGGCATCTCGGTGGACGGTGGGTCCGACTGGTTCCTTCTCAACCGCATGTTCGTCGAATACGTCATCAACTCCAATGACGACCTGGTCATCAGCATGAAGCGCTTCTACGCGTACACTCTGCTGCCAGCCGAGGTAACACACACACACACACGTAAACAACTAGCGCGTTCAATCTCTGTTGTCCTTTGACTGAGCTCTGCTTCGTTCTTGGGCCTCATCCAGTATAGAAACTGTGCTTGTTGTTTGCTTTTCATCGCTGTGGTAGATTTGACTGGACATTAGTACTCAGGACGCCGATGTGAAGTCATAAAGTAAAGGCAAGATGTAAAGGCATCCAACCTTGTGCACGGACATTTGTGAGAACTGAATGGTCCCTGTTGGGATATTGGATGCTTATCGTGAGTTACTGTGACTCTCCGGTCTCTTGCTGCTGCTGCTGCATTTATTCTCCGAGAACTGATTGGTGTAAAAAAACTAAAAGGCATTTTCTAATTAGGTCTTTGCGTCTCTCTCACTCTGTCCATCCTGTTTCTCAATTCCCAGTCGTTCTTCCACACGGTGCTGGAGAACAGCGCCCACTGTGAGAGCATGGTGGACAACAACCTGCGCATCACCAACTGGAACCGCAAACTGGGCTGTAAGTGCCAGTACAAGCACATCGTCGACTGGTGCGGATGCTCCCCGAATGACTTCAAGCCTGCAGACTTCCACCGCTTCCAGGTAAAGTTACCAACACCTGAGAAGAGAAATCAAGCAGACATAGCAATCCTGGTCGGTCAGGGGCCAATATCACACTTTATTTTACTCAGAAAAGCTTGGAATTGAAATTAATTCAGAGGTTTGAGGAGACACAGGAATACTCAGCGTAGCTCTGTTCATTTTTCACAGGTTTTGTGTGTCCTTTAACCTTCTCATGATTAGAATTTTTTAGTTAATTGCTCTTTTGTTGCAAAATACCAGGGGCAAAGTCCCTGATAATCTTGTGGTGCAGGTTGAATATCTCTTTGGAATATTAGCAAGAAAGTCATCACACAGAAACAGCTGCAGGGAAACCATCAAACCAAAGACAACGTATGTGAAGGACGGAGAGCGACGCACGTCTTCATATCTACGTACTGTATATGTATCAGGGCCGAGCCGTGCATTTATGGATTCTTTGCAGTCTTACCACAGTCGAATGAGCGAATAACTTCATTGTGACGCCACAGTTAATGTTAAAGGTTATCATTTGTTTTGTGTAAACACCTCACACTGTAACATTAAAGTGAAATAAAATAAAATGTAAAAAAACGAAGCTCAACACCTACAAATACACGAGAACCAGTCACATTTATTTACAACAACGCACGAGAAAACAATTGACAAACAATTAAAACACTCCAGAGTAGTGGGCCCCAACCTTTTTTTGGCCCTCGGCCGCATCTCAAGTTAGACAATGTTTCGTGGAGCGGTCTTGAAGTTGGCACCGTCCCCTTACAATGAGAAGGTCCTGGGGGCCTTTCAATTCTGATCAAATGGCACATAAAAAGCCTTTTCCAGCGAATGTCGATCAAAGAAATCAGATGAACCTACAAAAATAAAATAAAAAAGCATTTTAGTGGGAAATCTGCAGTCAATCTTTACATTTTCTGGCCTGTGGGTTTGTCCTCCCAGCCTCAGCATCCAACCCGTTCCCACAGCTTTTACAATCAATGTGTGCAAAATGAGGTCTTGTTTATTATGACCCTGAGAACTTTTTTTATAGTAATTAGATCTGCTTTGTTTGAGTGTGAGGGAGGGGACAGTTAGAAAGAAAACGAATGAGGGCATTGAGTCCAGGACCCCAGAGAAAGTCAATATCACAGTTTGACTTTTAATGTGCTGATTAAAAGCTGCTGTACAAAGTGAAAACACTCTGCAACTGCTCAATTTCAATGTGAGCATCGTCCTTTAATTGATTGCGCTAGCTTTGTCTCTCCGATGCAGTTTACCAGTGAAAGCGGACCTCCCTTTGCCCTTTGCCAGAGCCGTCTGCCGCGCCTCAGTCTCTAGCAGTCAAGTGCAAACACATCACCCCAGGTCCCTGGCACTGCCGCTGGGTCTGGTTGGCACCCGGGTATCAGTGAAGTCCGACCTTGGGAACAAAGCCGCCCATCCAAACGCCAGCCAGGCCGCGGTATTAATAGGGCTCAATGTCCCATTGAGCACACAATCCGAGTTTCCCTTTGAGCCTTAACACTGGGGCACATGCAGACCAGTTCAGTCCACTTCCCTTTGGTTAGTAGATGGGAAGAATTATTCAAGGTAAAACTGTTGCCCGGCGTAGTGATTTAGATTTCAGTAGTGGAGGGGTTGTTCCGGGTGGTGATGTGCCTTTTGTCTCAGAGCATCATTGTTTGGCGATGTGTTTTAGACAGGTTGGTACTTTCAGCTCACCGCAGGAGTGTCAGAATACACAAAATATGGAAATGCATAAAAAGCTGAAGCACGTTTCATTTGATACCCCTGAGGGATCACAGAAGGGTAATGCATCATCTGGTCCAGTGTATTAAACACCACTCAGTCATGGATTTAGCAATGAGAAATAGTGGTCTTGATGAAGTGTGCCTTTTTTCTAGCAAGTAGCACCGAGGTGTTCGGTGCTGGCTAACAGTATCGGCAAATAGTTTGGTGTCTGGGACTGAAAAGATGTCTTTGAAAGAACGCCAAGCTGTGTAGGCAGCCGATCTCCTGATGCACCATCAACCACACAGGCAACAGTGTGACAGGGAGAGAGAGGGTGAGAAAGGCATGGGTGGAGTGTGGGAGGGCAGACAGAACCACACATAAAAGGAACTGTTGAGAAAAGAGATGATGAATGGATAAATACAGAAAAAGGGAAAGGGGGGAGTACTGATGCTTGTGTCAGTTCCTCATTTTGTACCTCTAAGGACATATAAGACAGGCTCTCCTCTTTTCTTCAAGGTGAACTGAACAATTTTACAGTTAATGGTTCTTGGAGGGTGAAAACTTCCTTATCATGTGGAAAAAATGAACGTATAAAACCTTTTGTGGCTCCCGAGGGAGCTGTGGGAAGTTTGATCAATTGCCGCTTCAGCTTGCTCTTCGTCCGTGCTCGTGGCGAACGCTCCCACCAAAGCTCTCCACAATGTCTGTTGGCGACTGAGTTTTGTTGCGGGTTATGCAGGCACCAGGTTTTGCCTGAAAGCGTGAAATAAATGAGAAAATATCAGCTTGTGCTGCTTGAATTGTTTTTTTATTTTTGAAGGTCTGACAATATTATATAATTCAGATTCTTTCTATTGAGTACTTGTTTAATCTCCTAAGGACCCCCCAAATTGATCATGTAACCCTTTGTGGGAACCAGTGACGGAGGGAACACAAGATGTTATACGTATATTATTGTATATATACTTATATCGTATATATATATACCACCTTCTGCCATCTTTTATTCTTTCTGCCCACACATACCTACCACCACATCTGACACGTATTCGTTTCCTGCCATACTGGCACATCACCGTTTCTTAATCTTCTCCTTTTTTCCCCTTCTTTATCTCTTCCCTCCCTGCATACCTGTGATGTCCCCCTTCCTCCCTCCTTTCTTCCTTCTCTCCCTCTGCAGCAAACGGTGCGTCCTACCTTCTTTGCCAGGAAGTTTGAAGCCAGCGTGAACCAGGAGATAGTGAACCAGCTGGACGCCTACCTGTTTGGACCGTTTCCCCAGGGAACGCAGAGCTTAAACTCGTACTGGGAGAACATGTACGACGAGCCAGATGGCGTAGCCAGCCTGTCGGACACGCATCTCACGTACTTCCACTCCTTCTCTCGGCTGGGCCTGGCCAGAGCTGCCGCCTCGCTGCAGGGGAACCCGAGTGATCACAGCTGCAGGTTAGTCTCATAAACGTATTCACCTGTGCTTTTTCGTTCATCTCGGCATCTTGACGCACCTGCACCCACATCAAAAAAGGTGCACGCGCTTTGTTTTCACCCTGGAAAGCCTCACCACATGATGACAAAACCACAACTTGCTGGACGTGCAGATCTTTTGTGCCGATGCATCGTCCCTGCCTGGGATCGCGTGTCCTAGTAATAGTATAACAATGGATAGCAGCTGGGAGCCGGAGTAACGCGATTCAATTTGTAATACGATATGACTCTGTCAATTTGTCCCAGAGATAATGAAGCTACATGGGTCAAAGCCTTGGCAGCTGTCCCTTTGGAACAGTTTATTATGTGGAAATGTATGATTCCCAGTGTTGTTAACATACAGTGTGTAGTTAAAATGAAAGGGGAAACCACACTATGGTTCATATTTAATGGCCAAAGGGAACATTTAGGCCTCATGTCCCTCGGTTAGGGTTTCCACCAGCATATGTTTTCAGTAGCATCTGTTGTTGGAGCAATTAAGGTTAGATTCCCTTTATTTATTTCACACAGCAATGAACCCCTGATGCAAGGTTAATGAAACTGACGGATTTGATGTCCTGATTTGCACATCTCTGTCATTGCCAGGAAACGGGCCCGTGAGACATATACTGTACAAACAAATTAAAGGGCCTTATGTGTGTGTGTGTGTGTGTGTGTGTGTGTGTGTGTGTGTGTGTGTGTGTGTGTGTGTGTGTGTGTGTGTGTGTGTGTGCAAGCTTCTCTGTTTCAAGTTAGTGCAGCTGCACATACATATATCAAGCAAATGCACAAAGATTGAATGTTCACATTAAGACTGTTGGGTTGTCTCAATTCTTCACAGGCAAACTGCTTAAGTCAGAATGAAGGTTTTTAAGGTGTCAGGAAACGATGCTTGACAAGCAGTTTTAATGGTGTTTTTAAATTGCTGAGTCCACATTCTTGCGTTTTATTTGGGACGGAGCTAATTGAACACAGACGAGGAGGTGGGTTGATAATAAAAATAAACATTTAGGTTGTATGCACCCACTGTTCTGAGAAGACAAATAGCACAGCAGGACTAAAAAAATGTTGTTTATTAATTGCAGCCGTCTGGATTGATACAAAATAATCCGTCTGTGAAACAACAATAACTGATTTAAACTGTTTCTCACGTGGCAATCCATTCCCAGTTTGTGCATGTGAAATTATGGAAAGAATCTTACATACCCTTTGTCCTCATCGCTTGATCTGACCTGTTAGTTATTCATCTAATGTATTTATTCCCGTGTCCAGTTGTCTTTGGGCAACAAGTCAGATAACAGAATAACAAACAGAAGCTGAGAGGTGTAGAAAAAGGTTTTATGTTTTTCTTTTAGTAACTTAGACTTAGCTAAAACATTGGAGAAAAGGGTCCAGGTGGAATAATACCAAATGTCTCTTCCAAATTATTTGTTTTAACACAAAATGTTTCTCTTTTGCCTGTTTTGCAAAAAGACATGTCCATGTTAGGTGTGCATGTGCTGCCGTATGTTATTCCAGTGCACATTTTTAAAGATAAATCACTGCAGCCATTACTTGGTGGAGCCCATGAACAATACACTATTGCCATACTGCTCGGTGTTACACACCGCCAGAAGGCATTGCTAATATTAATTGAATGATACTAGATTGTGAAGTATATGAGCAGAAATCAGAGCAGAAACATCAAGCATTGTCAAGATCAAATTGAACAAAAAGGCGAGATAAGAGCTTAAATGATTCTTGGGATTGTAATGTTTTGATTTAACCACACTCTGGATTATAAAGCTAATAATTGAATACGCTGTGTGTGCGTGCCCCGCAAGGCCTGTCGGACGTGGCCTTATTTGTGTTTCATTGATCTTGAATTTTGCCGATCAAGTTAAGTCATTCAAATCAAAGGCTGCTTTGAAGTCTAAACTAAGTGACAGCAGATGGAACCCCCACTTTTGGTCTCAGGCCTCAAGTGCAGCCACATATACCATGTGTGTGGCCACATATTCTGCATGCACATAGAATTCAGATCCGCGACCAACAGATGGATGGGTCAGCCTCCTTGTGAGACTGGAGCAAGCGAGAGGAGGAGGCCGCAAAGAGAGATTTGTCTCTTTTGGCAGCCCGCTGTGACTGGATTGGGCAGACTGTGTTTCTAAAAGCCTGAATGGAGCTTCTGTGCTGTTCTACGCCCCGACCCCTTCAGACTGCCTCTCACACTGGCAGTCACATCTCTCTTGTGAAAAGAGAAGGGTGGGGGGTGAGAGCCAAGGGACAGAGAGAAGGAAGGATGAAAGAAGGATAAGAGGGGAGACGAGCAAAGAGGGAAAAGTTAGATGAGAAATTAGTGAAGTGGGGAAAGGGAGCCAGCGAGGGGGAGACAGAGTAGGAGGGGAGGGAGTGTTGCTGTGGGTGTAAATATTTGCTGTTCTGCTTGTCAGGGTAGCATTTACCAGGGTGGGTTGACTCCTGGTTCTTTAGTGGAATACTGATGAGGCCATGGCCACTGAGGGGCACGGAGGGACAGTGTGAGTGTTCATCTCTTTGCGTGAGAGCGCGTGCAAACGAGGGAGACTAAAGACGAATCTAAGTAAGCAGAAGAAGCAACGGATGGGAAATCTGGGCGTGAAGGAGTCAGGGTCTGTGCAGAGAGCAGCTGCGGAGTGTCCTCCTGCAGTGCGCGCCCTGGCCCCTTTTTTGTTTTTGCAGAAGTCACTCGGCCTGGCTGCCCCCGAGGGCCGGCCCTCTGCCACGTATGAAGCGACACGCAAACAAACAACAGACTAATCAGGGGGGGCAAGACCTTCGTTCGGCTCCAGTTGACTGGATTGACCCAGTTTGTTTCCGCAGACTTGTAGCTTGTTCAGTTGGATTGTCCACGTTTTCAGAACTCTGACTAATCTGAGTCTGCTGCCAGGACAACCCATGACTTCTCTGTAATTTTCTGTAGCTAGCAGAACACTGTGGTTTCAACCTTCACATGTCTTCTTTAACCATCATGTCTACTTCAGAACCAGAGCACATGTTGAACCACGCAGCACACGACACGGCAAAAATGACCACGGGAGAAGTTGCTTATTTACTTACAAGTCATCTCCATTAGTCATAGACCGAGAATGGAAGTAGTTACTGTAACCTCATCCATTGGTCTGTGGGCTACGCTTTTGAAGCTTTGTGTTCAGCATTTTGTCCGTCTCCATCATGGTGTTAAGACCTTTTAAATGACCAAAAGGTTACGATAAACAATCAGAAACTGAAAGCTCAGACTAGACTAGACAACACCATGGCAGCGACCTTTTATCGCAAGGTCCCTAAAGCACACTGTGCTTCACTGTCTATTTTACTCTAGATATCACCATGATGAGAATTTTCAGCATGTTCGGCAAAACTCTTTGACCAATTGGTTTCGTTTTAAAGGTCATTGTATTTATTTCCACCATGCCACAATCATAGAGCATAGTGACTCACCACTATTCTCCACTGCGGGACTACCTTAGCATCCAGCCACATTAACACGTCCATGGCTGGTTCCATCCAGACGTGCAGAAGAAACTGGATGTTCTCCCTTTCTCTTACACCATTGGTCCTGAAAGCATCCCAAGTGGAAAAGTATCAGCTTCACTAATGGCTCCTTTCCCTCTCTGTGCTGTGCCAGGTACTTCCCCATGGGCCACCCGGTGTCGGTCCATCTCTACTTCCAGTCAGACCAGTTCCAGGGCTACCTGGTCAAGCACCATGCCACCAATCTGGCCACCAGCAAGCTGGAAACCATGGAGACCTGGGTGGCACCCAAGAATAACTTCAAGCTAACTGCCCCTCTTAGCAGCACATTCAGCCGCTTGCAATTCGCTGAGGTGAGTCGTTGTATCGGCCTGCATGACGGAGCACACATCTTTTAGTTTACAGGGAAGTCAGCGGATTGGCTTGAGTCACAAAAGACTCCGCTGGCACGTGCCATGTCAGGATATTAGTTCCATTTTAACCTTGATGAACAACACACACCACGCTTTAGCATATGATTAGAAACGAGACGTACAGCTCATTGCCATTGTGGCGTTACAGTCATCGCTACGGCGACCTCGCCAAGACTCACCGCGGCGCATCCCCGACACAATTAAACTGCTGCCTGTAATGGCCTTGTAAAATGTAAATTGATTGAATTCATCCATGTTTATAGGGATCAGTGCTTCATGTGCTGTTTATTTGTTGTTTGCTAATAGAACGTCTTCTCACCTTCACACTGGAATGCTTCCCGTGATTGTCTTGTTATGTTAATCTGTGTTTCGGTTTGTCACAAAGCCTGTTTGGGATACAGCAGCTCGGCTGTGTTGTGACAGCAGCAGAGTGCCTTTTTAAAAATGGACAAAATTAACTGAGTGAATTTGAATGGACCTTTTTCTCTTTCTCTTATCTATATCTAGTTTTGTCTGAGGCAGAAATGCCAACAAACTTTCAAATTAATTTGGGACACACCGTGACCCTGTTTTACCTCAGCCAGCGGTCTCAACATAAACCCATAGGGATCTAGACAGCCCGTCACCATACAGGTCCCTCTGTATATGTGTCTGGCCTGTGAAACCGTGAGTGACAGACAAGTGATGTGGGCTGTGGCTTTTATCTGGTTGCTCAGCCTCGATAGCATTCACTGTCTGCCGCTGTCCAGTGGCTGTCAGTCAGACAGTTTGTCCATCTCTAATTCAACACACGAGCAGAAAGAGCTTGAAAAAGAAGCAGTAACTCTGCACTTTTTGTCAACTTAGCAGATATGACCAATCATAGTACAGCTTTACGCTGCAGTTTGCTACGTAAACCACACTGGCTTAACAATGGGTTCACTGTCCTCCTTTAGATATAAAAGAAGACAGATATGTCTTTCTTTTCACTCCTCTACTGCCGCCTGCCAACTGCCTTTATAGGCCTTTTACAGCATGATTTAGGGGAGGGCCACTTACGGCCCACAAAATAAAGATTAATATTTCACCTCAAGTCAGTCTGGCATATAAAGGTATATTACTCTTTGTTGGAAACATCTTTTACAGTAGAATGCCCGACCTTGACTGATAAAAACTAATCCAAAAGCCTTTTGTGTAAGGCCATGCTAGCCGTCACCCCATGTTTCCCGTTGTTATGCTAAGCTAAGCTAACCAGCTGCTGGCTGTGTTTATTGCAGTAAGCAGCATAGTGGAATGGATATTTTCAAAGAAAGTAACCACACTTACCAGAATGTTAAACTTTTCATGTAACTAATTTGATGCATAAGACAAAATGTACTGTTTTCTTTTTCTTCCTTCCTCGTCCCTCATTGCTTCACAGTGTGTCTTTATTAGCGAGCGCACAGCCATCTTTCCCGTCGTCCCTCAGTAGTTTAAACGTGTCCCGGGGGAGTCTGAGCTGCTGGTGACCACCTGTGTTTGATTACCCTCACAAAGAGTGCTACTAATAACCTTCTGAATTGGGCCTTGAGGGGATTTGGCGCCCTATGCTTTTCAGCAGGGCCAGAAGTAGACTGGGACTGTCCGTAGCACTGCCTGATTAAATTGACCTGTCTATTTAATTGAGGTGTGGGCGTCCGTAAGCCGGCAACGAAGGAAAAAGCATTTCAGGGTTGCAGAAGGAGTAAATACAATAGAGGTGGATTATGAGATGGGAGCCTTTCATGTTTTCCATGAAATCAGGGAGGGGATTTAGTAGACCATGAAAGAAGTAATTCGGGTAATCGAGGAATGATGAGGCAAAGGTGGAGAAAAGTAATATATGTGTGTTGTGTGTGCCGTTATCAGACATGAGTTTCTCTTTCCATTTGTCAGGTCTAATTTGTGACGAGAAAACGAGGGTCAAACCTGCCCAAATGAATAGAGGTTGTCAGTAATTGCTTTTTATGATTCATGTGAGCAAACAGTGTGAGTGAACACAAAAGTTGAGACGTGGGGGTAACTGAAAAAAAGGGGGTAGAGGTTCGCATTGAGGTGGCCAGATCAGCACTACAAAATCATGTTCTCCAGGGTGTAGCTGAGAACTTGGAGGACGGTCATGACGGAAGTCAACCCCTGTCTGTGGAAAAAGTGTAATATTTTTTTAAATCTATTGATAGCCCTTATTTGAAGCAATTCACTCTTTTGCAAAACTTTTAGCTTATTTTTGTGGGCATAAAATACAGTACAGTCAATGCAGTACGGAGTGATTTTTGGGTAATGTTTGACCTTCATGTTAACCTGCGTGTACATGCGTCTGCAGGGACGGAGAGGGAAAAACTCACTCATCTGCCTTGGAAATTGCTGGGGAAAGTGTTTTTTGTGTATTGTTACGCTGCCCTGATGTTTGATACTGAATAAATTGTGGATGAAACAGAAGGAAAGTTTCCCCCAGCATGTGAACATAAATATCAAAATCGTCCTTTTCCGACCTGCAGGCTTTGCTACCAGTGAATTATTATCCCCCGTTAACACTGCCTTCGGTCCTTTCTGAGTTCAGACTGCAGCCAATCAATGGAGGAGCGTGTGTTTGCCAGAGAGTCAACCTTGTATAAAGTAATGAGCTACAGAGGTACCAGACTAGACACTTGATTAGTAAGAGAGTAGTGTCTTTTACACACATACACACTGTCTAATTTCCATGTTATGTTTTATATACGTACACTGAACATCTCAACTCTCAAAGGAGGATGTTGAGATGAGTCAGTTCCAGTCAGCCATTGATCGTCCATCAGGGTGAGGCTGTGTTAATCAGCTACTATTGTAAGGATGAGCCGCCATCCCTCTCACATTTCTGCCAACACCCCAGACATCCTTCCCAGTGTGTGCGTGTGTGTGTGTGTGTGTGTGTTGCCTCCCTCTCCATCACCTCGTCTCCACCATCAATCTTTGATCGCTCGATGTATCTCATTATGCATATTGCACGGTTTTGCAATCTTTGCAATCCAACACACAGGTCACGCCTCTTGACCGCTGTGAAGACATTAAACGCAATTACCTGTAGTCATGTATTAATCCTGTTTTATTTATTTTTTTGTTCCATATCAATCACGTAGAATTGTATGCTAAATGTTAAGCTTACTAGAAATAATAATCTTATAATTGGCTCCATGTTTCACTGGCATTCCTCCATTGTGCGACAGTCTGGCAGCTATTTCCGTGTTCTGCAGGCGGAGGCGCAGCGTGTCTCATAATTCAGCAGAGATATATTTGACTTTGGTATTATCTCTCACATTTTTACAGTGAGTTTATTCATCTCACAATTGTCACTGTTGTTGCTGTAGCACTAAAACCTTACTTTTACAGAAGTATTCTCCCCAGACTCCCCTTTTCTGTCAGAAGAGTGTGACTGCCTATAATGTTATTATGTACAGTGTCTCCCTCTGTTCGTTTGTTTTTCACCCATGGTTCGCACGGCAGTTTGTGTTAAGGACGAATGCTGCTCACACCACATCCAGATGTTCATTTCCTCTCCCCTTATATCTTTCTAAAATGTTTTCAGAGTGCAAACAGGCATGCGTTGGATCTTCACTCCCAAGGGATAGGGTTGGGTTGGGTTGGGTTGGGTTGGTCTACTCATAAGTCGTCCTCAGCCCCCCATGTTCCAAGATACACTCAAGCATAGAAAGAGATACTCAGACATTCAGCATTCAGAGACTGTGGACAAATGGACTCACACATGCAGGATGAAACACGTCAGCTTCTGCGCATTATAAATTTATGTAACGGCTGTGTAAAGGGTTGGTGGAGTGTGTTGCTGTGTGATGAGAAAATGCAGGCTGAAGATTGTTTTCCATGATAACTCAGATATTGGTTATCTTAATATTTAATTAAAATGGTGACGCATGCACAATGATGTTACTTATTTATCTGAGCCTGCAGCAGAAGGAGTGAATTTATCTAACTCCATGTATTGTGCTTTTTGCCGTTGCCGTTCTCCTTGTCTTTATTCGCACCTCGTTCTGTCAATCACTCTCGTCTTCCCGACGTTTGTCTCCCTCTCATTTCCTTCCCCGCATTTTACGCCGACAGATCGGTACCGAGTGGGACCCCAAAGAACGTCTGTTCCGAAACTTCGGCGGCCTGATGGGCCCAATGGACGAGACAGTGGGCATGCAGAAGTGGAGCAAGGGCCCTAACGTCACCGTCACAGTGGTGTGGATCGACCCCACCAACGTCATCGCGGCCACCTACGACATTCTGATCGACGCCAGCGCCGAGTTCACCCACTACCGCCCGCCTCTCAATCAGCCCCTGCGGCCCGGTGTGTGGAGCGTCCGCATCCTGCACCACTGGAGCCCCGTGGCTGAGATGCACTTCCTTATTGCCCCGTTAGCCTACAACAAGCACCAGCCTATACGACAAGGTGAGAGAACGATCCAAACAGCCTCCTTTTGCCATTTGTTTGAGCTTTCATCACACAAAATGCTGTGCTGTTTCTCAACAGATTATCATTTATCCAAAGAAGTACTTGCACATTTTGCTAAATATATATATATATAAAACACGGTGCAATGCATGTCCTGCTAGAAAGCCTCTTCCTGTAAAGTTCATGTTTCTTTGTTGACATGGAGACACTGAGGAAAAACTTAATGTAACCTTTTGTAGTATTTATATTTCAGGTTACTTAGTACTCCTGCTAAAATGCACGTTAGAGATTATATAATCATGTTCTTTATACTCCAATACATTCACCCAACAGTTCTAACTAGTTACTTTGTTTATTAAGATCCACACAATGCAGAATCTCTTTCTTCTCCGAGTAATATTGTCATGTCATGTTATGTATTTTCATACCACGTGAACAAAAAGTGTCCTTGTAGGGCAGGTGCCACCTTTCTCGTATGAATGATTGTGAATGGGTGAAAGACGACATGTGTTAAGAGTCCATTTATTTACTTAACAAATAGTTTGAGTTCAAGCCTCAACATTTTGGCAACAGGAGGTTATTGCAGAGTGGAGTTAAACACATGGAAACTAGTCCATAAATACCTGATGGACCGACTCATTTTAGTTTTGGACCTTTACAGATCAGCATTGTATATAAATCATGTATTAATACGCAAATGGGTTATACGTCCCACTGAAATCTTAGAGTTTTCTTTTTAGTCGACACAATTTCACAGTGTGATTTACTGTGAAGTAGCAAATGTCCACTGCCACACACACACACACACACACACACACACACTTGCAGAGAGAGCCGTGCGTTTGCAGTGATGCCCTTTCTAATCAAGCCTCTGGGTCTCTGCAGGCCCTGGTTATTTGTCATCAAGTCACCCTTAATAACCTAGCGAGCTGCTCATACAAAGTAAACAGAATGTTAAACAACAGCGCACTTAGCCTTCCAAAAGCAATGACACAATTAAATCGCTGTTGTTTGTCCGTAAAGCAGACAGTTTCATCTTGAGAGAGTTGAGACGCAAGCATCGGCGCAATCATGTCTTTCTCCGTTTAACAATCACAAGAAAAGCATGAAATAAAGAAACATTTCGCCTGAGTCTCAGCGGGGAATGAGTTGTTGTGAGAACTATTCCGCTCTGTTTTTGCTGCTTAGGTCTATCATGCTCTCGCTTGCAAACGATGTATTCGTTGAGAAATGTAATACACTCTTTTCTATAGTGTTGTAGCTCCGTTATAGAGTAACGGTACTTAAGAATTATTAGCTGACCTTACTTGAAGTATCAAAAGGAAAAGTGCTCATTATGGTCATTACTGCGGAATGAACCCCGTCAGGATGAGCACAATCAGCCTGAAGGGGGTTCATTTGGCAATAACAACCCACTTGCTGTAAATTATCCAGCTTATCGCAGGGCTACTTCCTAAAAGGCTCAATCATTTGACACAAAACTGTGATTAAGGATTATTTTAATGATTAACAAATGATTCCACTTCTTCTGCTCACATAAATAGTGGTCTCGCTGTGTACAGATATCAGTGCTATGACCACAGCAACACTCTTTTATTCATAGCAACTATCTGCTCTAAAGAAATACAAATGAAATGCCATGATTGACCAATCGGAAATTGAGTATTGAACAAAGCTGTGTAATCTGTTAGAGGAGGCTTTTCATAGTGTCTCCTCAAGACCGATATGCCATATTCAAAGATATTTCATTTGTAAAATCCTAATGGGAAAAGTAAAAACAGCTCCAATTATCAGAAATTGAGTGGAGTAAAAAGTACAATCCCACCGTGAAAAGATTTAGAGCAACGGTTTTTAAATAACATAAAATTGAAAGTTTACATAAATTGTGCGTAGATGATTTGAGTATTCCTCTGAGTGGTCCCTCACTGTGGGAAATGGCAGACATTAAGGAGGGTTAACTGATTAACAGTAGGAGAATACACGATAACTATCATTTATTATTATTAGTTTTATACTTTTTGAGTGGAAATTACAGTCATCATGTAAAAATGTTGCGTATGCTTGGCTCACTGTGTGTTGTACTGTGTGCTTACGTCTTAGCTGTTCCATCCACCGCCTTTAATTTCCTGCCATGTCTGGCACCAGGTTTCCATGCCAGTAAAACTTAACAATGTGGCCATATACCCGCGTTTGGCAGCAGCAAATGCCGGCACACACACACACACACACACATGCACGACAGCACTTTCATACACAAAGCTAGCTGGCATGGTATGGACATTGCCTTGTGGTGGAGCACCTCATGTCTGACGGCATCTTTTCTGTCACCAGTGCATGAAAAGCACTGATGTCTGCTCAGTCGTGCTTTGAAAGGATTGCTCGTGCCGCAGTTAGAGCACCAGTGAGGAATTTACAGCTTCGGTGCAGCTCAGGGTGGAGAGGCTGCATCGAGGGGAAGTTGTGTCTACGGTTTCTGTCTTCCTGCCGGGCTTTACCGTCACAGGAAGAAAGAATTAGGGCGCGTCTGGCCGTTTCCATATAGTCAGCATTGCGGATGCTTGACACACCACATCAAACAGGGGGATTTAGGTACTCCAGTCATAAAAATCAATCCAAGTAAATTAGCAGTTTAAGCTTTTCAGATGATAATAAAATAAATCACGTTCTCTGCTTTAATATTTAATAATTCAAGTCTCTTTTTTTCCTTTTCTCCCTTTCTCTTCCCCACAATCCCCTCTCTGTCTGACCACTAACAATCAACACACGATCCATCTCCTTCTCTGTTCTCTCCTGCTTCTCTTCGTCTCTCCAGAGGACACTCTGAAGCACCACAACGGGCCGGCGAAGAACAGCTACATGGAGCAGAGTTTCCACGGCCTCAACCCAGTGCTCAACGTCCCCGTCAGTGCGGGCTCTGTGGAGCAGGCCCGGAGGAACGCGGCCCTGACCGGCCCGGACCTCGAGCGTTGGTTGGACAGCCTGGTGGGCGAGTTGTGGGAGGCGGCCGACGTCTGCGCCGTGGGCCCGACGGCCTGCCCCGTCATGCAGGCCTGCCCCAAGAACCCCTGGAGCTCCCTGAGCCCGGACCCGAAAGCCCACCTGGGAACGCCGCGCGCAGACGGGCGCATCAGGTAGCGCCGAGGCCTCCAGCTGGACGGGAGGCCTCAGCGCAGGAGATTCACTGTCGATCTTTTATTTATTTAGGGTTTTTTTTTTCCCGCAGGTGGATTAAGGAAAAGTGTTCTTCTTCCGTTTCGGTAGAAGATGAAAACAAAAGAAAAATTGGATATTTTGGGGGGGTTGGTGAGGGCGTCTGGACAGAAAGCGAGGAGAATGATTTTTTAGATCTCCCACGGGGTTCCTCCTTTTAGGGGATTATGCTGGCTTTGCTATTTCAGTTTCTCGTGTATTTATTTCTCTTCTCATGGCTGAGTTTTACTGTGATCAAACGTTGCAATTTTCGAGCATTTATTTTGTCGCTGAATGAAATATGAAGTCAGCTTTCAAAGCCCTGCACGGGGCCCGGAGGTCATGTGATGCTGGTAGCAGACAGAGTTCTGCTGCTATTTAAGCCTTAACTGTAAGACCCACACGAGGAGGCAGCCTGGTACTGAATTAAATGTATGTATCCACATAAACTAAACAAGAGGATATCTGACTGTTCCAATAAACCAAACTTCCAAAATTTAGATTAGGCTCAAATGCAGCTCATAAAAGGCACATTTTTAAAATGTAAGGAGTAACTTTGAATAGCAGTACTAAAGCCAATTACTTAGATCGGTGAATCGGTTGAATAAATCTGTAACAGCAGCACAACTTCAGTTCGGTGCCTGAACTGTTGCTATCTGACCATTTGCGGCAGTCACATTTCGTAAATAGAGGATAAAGAGAGAATACTGAGGCCTTTTTAAGAATAATTGCATCCATTGGGATTACAATAGCAATTGATAAATGCTTAATTTGTGGTTATGGGGGAAAGTATTATAAGACTCAACATTCGCATAGATTAGGTCTATTTAATGTAACCTGGATGTTGCGACCGGCAGAGGACATCTTGGGTTTCCTTACCAACCTGCCTCAGACTCACACTTAAAATTCCCATTCATGTTCTCAGTGTTTTACTTCATTCCAGTCTTTTGAGTGACACTTTATGATTATACAAGAAGAAAAAAATTGTGTGAATGAGAGGGGGTGAGTCCATGAGTCGCTATTTATTTATACGTTTATATTAATACTGATATTTTTAGTCAGTGACTAAATAACTGCGACGCTGCCTTGGCAGCATGAAAAATATTTTTTTTGTAATGAAAGCTGCCTTTATTTACAAAGGCCTACTCCCCCAACGTATACTGTTCCTTTGTATGGCCCGCACCTGTGTGTTAGTCAGTGGTGTCCCGTCTGAATAGATCGACTTGTCTTGGTTTCTTAAATGGCTGCTTGCCAAGTGCATCACATGAGACCGTCACCCTCACCCGTGAGGTCAGAGGTCACCTAACAACCTCGCTGAACAGCAAACGGGCACAAAAACACTCTTCATGACCGACCACATTGGGCAACCTGTGGATGGAAGGAGAAACTATGCTCGTTGGTGTTATATTAATCGGAATGACAGTGAGTGGCAGTGATCTTCATGCTGTGACGATAATGTACAATTTCACGTGAGTATTACATTGTGTGTTGATGTAAAATGAATCATTTCCTAGATCAACGTCATCGACATTTTAAGTACCTTTTCTGCCACCAAGACAATCTCTGGACATTTGAGACGAGTCAGTTACACTCAAAGTAGCTCTGTTCCACGACGCATCCTGGGCGAGAGGTACCATCAGATATTTATCTTACTCCGAAATAAGTTTCATCTGAAGCCAACGAGGAGTTCAATCCGTGATTGTTTGGCCACCACACGAGCTAAGTGAGCTAAGTGTAAGAGACATTATTGTTCACTAATGTCAAGTGGCCTCGCTGTCCGAGGAGTCCTTCCCTCTTAAACCCAGTCCTTGGTTGGGCTGTAAAAGGACAATTCAGTTTTTTCACATGCCGGCTTCTGCTGCCACTGTTTAACTTAATAGTGCCGCCACGCTCCGAACAATACTTCACACGATACATATTATTACGTAAGCTCAACGCAGTTTTGGAAAAAGGTGAATTAAAGAAATGTAACTCAATGTGGTCAAAGTCCTATTTTGTAACAAAATGATTAACAAATGAATAAGATGTACATAGGTATTTTGTATTGAAATATTGTTTAAAAGGTATTGTACCGGTACATGTAAATACAGATGTAGTAAAAATACTTGGAATTATTAAGAGTTTTTGAGGTGTCAATAACTGGGCACAAAGAGTGAGATGATGGTGTTTATTGATCAAAGTACATAACTTGTTTGAGTGTTTTTGGAAGGCTGTGACAACAACCGTGTCCTATTTGCCTCTCAGAGAAAATAACATCCCAGATTGATGTTGTTCTTGCTGGAATGTATTGTTGAGCAACTGTTGCACAAATTTCTCTGAACTGAGATTTCCCCCATTATTTTGTTCTGGGGAGGCTCTGTGTGCCTTAGCTGACTTTAAGAACCTTCTCTGTCTATTAAGATATTACAAAGTCATCTTGTTTGTTTTAATTTCATGTGACGAATACCACGAGTTTGTCGAGTGATTCACTGGTACTGCAACACCAAAAAGATGTCTGCTGTTGTATATATCATCAGGCCTTCTGTCTTTATCAGCTTTTATTTTGCATTTTCTTCCCAATGGGGGATTTGTTTTGTTGTACTTGACTGGCTTGTCTTACTTTTCTCTGACTTTTTTTGGAAATAAAATGATATGGAAAAACAGCTCTTGAAGGCATCTTTTCAGGTATCTCTCCATACTATTGATTATTAAAAACTGTGCTTTCTATATATATAGTCCATCTAACTGGTCGTATAATATTCTAGCATTTACATTTCAAGGATATTCATATATATTGTTGATGGAAGGAAATTAAGTTAGTTTTAACTCAAAATTGGTTTAAAAGGACGTACTCCAATAATGCTGCACAAGCTAAAAATGGTAATTTTAACAATTGTTCTCAGTTTTTCTGTCCAGCAGCAGGATATTTGCCTTAAGACAAGAACATCTCTCAAAACTCACCACAGAACCTATGGACACAGGGGAGCATTTATTAGCCAGAGCAGTTTTTCTCTAAAGAGGAAACTCAATGCTATAAAGAGAGTGATTAATATTGGCCGGTCACAAACAACAGTAAAATGTTTTGTGTCTGATAGATGTGTAAACGTTAACATAACTTTAACATAACATAACTATTCATAACAGATACTGCCCATATCTTCAGCAACTACAACGCATGCAATGCTACAATGCACAAACCATATGAATTAGTAATAGATTTTTAAAAGAAATACTGTGCAGACTTTCCCTGCAGCCACATCTCTATATGCTTTACAGTTGGAAATAATGGTCCTTCAAGTATTTCCCTCAGTCAAGCTGACGTAGTTAAATTGGTAACTGTGTCTACAGCTAGTTTCTACCATATGTTTAAATTAGCTTCAACAATTGTTCTCTCCTGACTCTCCCTTCCTAACGCAGCTCTTTATTATGTGGCCACAGGACATTTCATACCAATGACGACCTTCTATAAACAGGACAACCGAAGTCTATTCACCAAAAATAGAGCAAACGACCGTTGTTTTTATTACTTTATTGTTAACTCTGTGTGTGTGTGTGTGTGTGTGTGTGTTGCCACACAGCCCTTGATCAGAGGAGCACTGCAGTGGCAGTAGATCCCATTTACTGTCCCACGACTTTGGACAGTCGGCCTAATTAGTCCTGGCTTGCTCTGCTGTACGCTTGTCCGCTTCGTGCATTTCCTGAGCAAGCAAGTTAGTGACTCACTCAGCAAGAGAGCAAAAAACAAAGCGTGCAGGTTCACGTGCACGCATGTGCGTGGGCGTTCCGGTAAAAGCAGATGCAAAGAGAAATGTGCGGCCTCGTTCACCCGCAGCAGGATGAGAATCATTATTTATCATTATTTGTTTGACTGCAATGGGAAACAGTAAATACTATCGTGCTGATAACGGGAGGGAATCGCTCAAATCTATTGTAGATAAACATTGTGATGATCGTCTTCAGCTTTTAACTCAACGACAGAAACAAACAATGCAACATTATGTGATTGAAACAGGTGATAAAAGAGTTTTTGAGAGGGTGTGATATGCAAATGTGATATGCAACTCTATATTCTAAAAATAGTAATAAGGGTTTTTTGAATGCACGTTTTATTTATCAGCCATTTACAATGAGTACTTCGACATTCACTCCCCTCTCCACCTTCTAATGGAAAAGGCGCCCTTGCGCTTTGAAACTAATCATTTTTCAGATTCATTATTGTGCAGCGGCACTACGGCTTTTTGTTATGTCCAACAAAACGTGGGAGTAATGCAATCTGGATGATTGAAAATGGATTGCGACTTGTGGAATCGCAAACAACCTGTTAACCCGGTTATGTTACCGTTCCACAGGAAATGTATTATATTTTGAAAATTCATACTCGAGTAAGGCAAAAACACATCTTACTAAAAGTAATTCTACGGTATGTGTTTATGAAAGGGCAGAGTATAAGAATAATAAATAATAACAGAATTTTATGTTCTTATTGTAGGTTGAAAAAAGTGCCAAAAATCAAAAGTAATAGTATAGTATCTATAAAAGCTATGGTATCGTATGTCAAAAAAAGTCATAGTATTTTAAAGATAAGGATTAAATCATTGTACGTCAACAGAAGCCATAAAAAAAGATACAGTATGTTGAAAAAAGTAAATATGTGTGTGAAAAACATGGGAGTTAAGTATTACAAATGTGAGTCAAATAAAGTCATAAAAAGTCATAGTATTGTATATAAAAAAAGTCATTCTATAAGTAATAGTATTGTGTTTGTAAAAACGTTTTACTGTAAAAAAAAAGGTATGGTACAGTTTAAGGAAAAATGTCAAAAAAATAATTTTAACATTAAAATAAACCACATACACATAAAACACGTAAAGAGTTTTATATCTTTTAAACCCGTTTTATTTGATTCGTGAAAATGATCAAAAGAAAGGCTTTAATATTACAATTAGAAGTGAGGATGCATTCGTGATTGCTTTTCCTTGGATCCTTGCCCCATCGATGAACCTGGGCGGAGGACGTTTATTCAGTTTGAAGTATTTGTGACGGCTCAAGGGTTTGCATGTATTCTTCCAACAGCTACACTGAATATGCGATGAGCTTCACTGACTTTCTCCCTGAGTGTTTGTTATGGTCCAAGCCCACTGTTATGCCTTTTTGAACAATTCTTCCCTGCAACACCCAGCAGTGCCATCCGGCGTGACTTTTAAGAATCTCCACTACTGCCAGTGAAACGCTCAAGCTGAGACCAGAATCGATGTGCGACTGTGGGTTAGGAACTACCATTTGAAGCCACTATCACCAGCCATTAAAAGATTTAAACAAGATGGAAATGGTTAGACTCTGATCACCCGCTGGCTGGTAATGACAGTTATCTCTCCTATCTTTTCTCCAGTAGACAGAATAATGACGTCATTTTTCAGGGCCAACATGCTCTTGCTGCTCCTCGGAGAGCAGCAGACTCTCAGCAGCATCACCGGCGAACGGTAGAAAAAGATCCTTAACAGCCAAATCTGGTTGGACGCGCCTGCACCGCCGCACAGTTCCAAGTCATGCTGCCATATATTTCCAGCCAGGCAGAAGAAAGGCGGTACGCGCCTGCGAGCCGGAGTGAGTGCTAAATATTTCAATAACAGCTCACTGACAGCAAGAAAGGAAATGCAGGAGACGCAACGGGGGGGAGTTTGGTGCCAGACCCTCTGGGAGCAGCAGCGAGGGGTGACAGGTAAGGGCCCGTGTTACATGAGGAAGTGTCTGAAAACATCAGCGCAACACCAGGAACGCTAAGAGTGAGGAGCCGGCCACGTGGCACGTAGACGGAGGGAAGGCCTCCGTTGAGTCGCCTCATGCACACCTGCTGACGACAGCAGCGGAGACAAGCTTTTACTCTTACTGTGGGAAAATGACACGACCCGAGGTGAGGAAACCCGACTGGGATTAATGTGAGTGTGTACACAGTTTTTATAAATGTATGCATGAAGAAGAAGAATGGTAAAGCATCCGCAGAGATCTACAATACATTAAGCGGAGATGAAAAATGAAATAGAGGACACTGGAGAAAATGTACAAATGTTGGACAAAGAACCACATTTTCTTTGAAGGAATACATTCTAAATGATTCATTGTTATTCATTATCATGCTGCCTGGTTCAGGGCTAGTCATGCATTTTAAGGTCCGGATCCAAGCCATGAAAAACAGTGGGGGATACCGGAATAGAAACACCTGACGGGCAGTTTGGTTTCGCAGGCACTTTATCCAACAATGAGCATTGCAACATTTTGTTTGCTTGATCAGAAGTGTTTTCTTTAATTGTGAAATCTACCTTCCTAGAAATCTACCCCGGGATGGTTCATTTAGTTCTTCAAAACATATAAATATAAAATACTTTTTAATTAAGCTGTGACTTTTTAATCAAGATGTGCCTTCATCTACATCTCGGACCAAAACAGAGATGACCTAGATCATATTACTGTAAATAAATCAAAGCAGTGTGTTTTCCTTTTGTACAAATAAATAACCATTCCACCATAACTTGATTAAAGAAATTCTCCCTGATGGAAGAAAAGAAGTGTTGACTCTGACAACTGTGAGTCAGTAACATCAAGCCGCTAAACTTACATGTTATTTACAGGACGGGAAAAAACTCATTCAAAGGGACCATGTCTGTCCTATGACAGCAAACAACACAAATATACCTCAACAAATAAAAAATGATTATACACATTTTCTCAGGGGGAAAGACCTTTTTTAACCTAAAACAAAGCAGACATTTTCCACCTCTGTGAAATGAACACATTAGAATTATTCAGACCGAGTCTAACTCAGCCATCGATTCACTTATCGATTCATTCGCTCACAGCAAAGAGCCTCGGGTCGATTCTAAAATGCTGATCGGCTGTGTTAAGATGTACAGTGGAAAATAAGAGGGGGGGGGGGGGGGGGGGGGGCAGAGGGAGAAGGAAGCAGAGAGACCATGACAGACTTAAACAGGGAAGGAGTGTGCGAGTGTGTGTGTGTGTGTGTGTGTGTGTGTGTGTGTGTGTGTGTGTGTGTGTGTGTGTGTGTGTGTGTGTGTGCGAGTGGGAGAAGGGGGCAAAGCATCTGAGAGAGAGACAGAGACAAGGAGACAGCTCCCTGCAGAACCCTATAACAACAGAGTGTCTTGCTGACGGATGATACGTGGAGGCCCAGCAGTCCGACCAGGCGAGGAAACCCATTCCCGCCACGACACCCTGTCACAGAGCAGCATCCAGATCAGCAGTGCAAGTGGGAGAGGAGAGATGAAGGGAAAAGGAGGTGAGGGGAAGTCACAGGAGGAGATTTTTTTTAAAAAGGGGTGAGAGAGGAATAGGTGAGGAGGGAAGAGATGGACGTAGATCACGGCGGGAGAAAGAGGAGAGGGAGGGAGGTAGAGTGAGGCCACAGAGATCTGAAAAGGGCAGTTAAGCCGACTTTATCAATTATTCATTTGGAAATCAATAAAAAAAAAACTATGCCGCATCTAGGGAGGGTAATAAAAAAAAAGACCAGAGGAGGTGATAGAAATTTCATCTTATTTCGTTTTTAATTTGTGATCAATTATTTAGCTTCTTATTTCCAAGCCGCCTTAAATGTACTTTCCGATAAGGAAGATTTGACCCAGAGTGACGTAAAGAGGAATGATGAGAT